AGGGGACACAGGGACAATGGCACAGGATGACACAGGGATGGTGGCACAGGGGACACGGGGATGGTGGCACAGAGGACACACAGGGGTGGTGGTACGGGGACACACAGGGATGGTGGCACAGGGGACACAGGGATGGTGGCACGGGGACACACAGGGGTGGTGGCACATGGGACACACAGGGACGGTGGCACAGGGGCACACAGGGAAGGTGGCACAGGGGACACAGGGACGGTGGCACAGGGGGACACAGGGATGGTGGCACGGGGACACACGGGGTGGTGGCACAGGGGGACACGCAGGGACAGTGGCACACAGGACACAGAGGGATGGTGGCACAGGGGACACACAGAGACGGTGGCACAGGGGGACACACAGAGACGGTGGCACAGGGGGACACAGGAATGGCACATGGGACACAGGGACGGTGGCACAGGGGGACACAGGCACGGTGGCACACGGTGCCGCCAGTGCCCGTAGGACACCGGGGACAGGGCGGGCAGAGGCGCCATCGCGGGGCGGGGACACCGCGACAGGGGAGGGGACACCGGGAGGAGCGGGCGGGAAGCGGGGGAGGGAGGGACAGGGGTGGGTGGCACCCGGGACACACGGGAATGGAGGGTGGCACAGAGGGGACAGGGCACCAGGGATGGCAGCACGCGGGACACGGGGCACCAGGGGGGATGGCACACAGGGGACATGAAACGCGGGGACGGCAGCACAGGGGGACACGGGACACGGGGGATGGGGACACGGGGGACACGGGCCAGGGATGGCCACAGACACGGGACACAGAGATGGCAGCACAGAGGGGACACGGGACACACAGGGATGGTGGCACACAGGGGACACGGGGATGGCAGCACGCGGCAGACACAGGGGACAGGGCACATGGGATGGCGGCACACAAGGGACACAGGGATGGTGGCACAGGGGGATACAGGGAAGGTGGCACAGGGGACACAGGGATGGTGGTACAGGGGACGCGGGGATGGTGCCACATGGAGCAGGGACAGGGATGGTGGCATGGGGGACACAGGGACAATGGCACAGGATGACACAGGGATGGTGGCACGGGGACACACAGGGACGGTGGCACACAGGACACAGGGATGGTGGCACAAGGGGACACAGGGATGGGGACACAGGGGTGGTGACACACTGGGGATACGGGACAGGGCACACGGGGGTGGCAGCACAGGGGACACAGGGATGGGGACACGGGACAGGGCACAGGGGGTGGCAGCACAGGGGACAAAGGGATGGGGACACAGGAATGGCAGCACATTGGAGACACAGGGATGGGGACACAGGGATGGTGACACTTTGGGGACACGGGACAGGGCACACGGAGATGGCAGCACAGGGCACACAGGGGTGGGGACACAGGGATGGGGACACCAGGGACAGAGGGCACATGGGATAGCAGCACAGGGGACACAGGGGTGGGGACACAGGGGTGGGGACACAGGGATGGTGACACTTTGGGGACACAGGACAGGGCACATGGGATGGCAGCACAG